TGATAGCAGAGTAGTTGGGGAATATATTACGTAGGCTTTCCCCACATTCCTCACATCTTGCTCTACTACACGTATCTAATAAAAGCAAAATGAGAGAGATATTAGTGACTGTGCTTTGTTTTAGTTTCCTGAACTCCTGCTGTAGTCCTTTGGTTTTTCACTCGTTCTCACGCTAAGCTTTCTCATCAAATAATGACAGTAATGGAACTGCTGAAACGACAGATTAATAGTTGATTGTGTGTTAAAGAGCCCCTTTGAAATGTTCTTAATAAATGTTTAGAACTGCTTTGTAATAAATGAAATCGTTTTTTCTTTTTTCCTTTTTTGTTCTCCCATCGGTTTTCTTCCAATTTTATGAGCTGTCATGATCTAAACTGCCCAGTGTGTCCTTTTATGTGTTAGTGACTGAATGAATCTATTTATTCAAATGTATATCTATTAGGATTTTGTTTCCAGGTATGGGAAAGAAACAACAACTTTAAAAAGAGTCCCTTCCATTAATGCACTGCTGATGTATGTGTATATCTTAGTGTTAGTTGTTGATCATTTTAGTTTCACAGTTCAGTCTCTTGCGTAGCTTAAATATTAGTCGATTAGCCCCTCTTTACAAAAGCCACCTCTCCTCCAGTTATCTAATGGCCACACTGCTGCGCTACTGATTTTTGTCTTCTTTAAATGTCGTGGTAAATTTCTTCCCGATGACATTCAAAGTCGTATCAAATTTTTAAATCATGACCACCAATGAAAATGTGACATCGCCCCTCTAATATTCTGTAATCGATTTAAAATCTTATACAGGCCGCTTTCTTCTCTCCCCACAGAGTCTGGAGGGAAAAGCTTTTTGCCTCTGTAGCATTTACACTCTGTCTGAGCATGCTCTGAGCGTGCCTCTCCAGGCTGTACCACTGAAACAGGACTGTTGTCGCCTTTGAATAAGCAGTTGTTTGCTTTGCTCTCAAGCTGCACCACTTTGCCTTTTGCAGACCACTTGGCTCAGCTGCACGAATACCATTTGTATTAGAATAGACTCTGTGAAATGAAGCATTTTATCTAATATCAATTTTTGCCACTAGCAAAAAGCACAGAGCCTAAGGGATTTTTATCTTAAAATCAGGGTGTATTTTGTCTGAAAGTAAAGATAAGGTGTTGTTATTTCTAATACTGGAGCAATCGTGGCTCAAGAGTTGGGTGTTCGTCTTGTAATCGGAAGGTTCGAGCCCCGGGCTCGGACAGTCTCGGTCGTTGTGTCCTTGGGCGAGACACTTCACCTACCGCCTACTGGTGTTGGCCAGAGGGGCCGATGGCGCAATATGGCAGCCTCGCCTCAGTCTGCCCCAGGGCAGCTGTGGCTACAACTGTAGCTTGCCTTCACCAGTGTATGAATGTGAGAGTGAATGAATAGTGGAATTGAGGGGTCCTGAAAAAAGCACTATATAAATGCAATCCATTATTATTATTAATATAACTAGATGCTATAATGTTCAGTTCAGTTTTTTGCTCCCAGGTATGCTTTAGGTACACAGTCGCGTCCTAAATTACCCTTTCCATGGTCCAACATAATACAAACTCAGAGGGTGCAGCTGATAAGCTGTAAATGTGTAACCTAATTCCGGGTATGCCACTTTCACAGAAGCATCTAATACTTTGACTCTGAAATGCTTTTAAACAATATTTAAATTTAGAATTTTCTCTCTTTGTTAGCATGTTTGGTTGCTAGCTGAATAGCCGGTGATGCTATTTAGAGAGACGTTTTCCTAATTAATCAAAGATTACGATTATTTGTCACGATTATTCATTAAGTTTATGACAAAAATGTAAACATAACACATCTTCAGATCTATATAAATCGTTGTAAGACAAAATGAATCTGAGGAGCACTGCTTTTACTTTTGGATTATCCTACATTTTGCAGACAAATAATAATATAAGGTTTTTTACTCGACTGAACCTACATGATGAATGTGACTAAAACTCGTAGCAAAGTTCATGCATCAGCTAGACTCCAATTTAGTGTCTTTCAGGCCTTCAGATATGTTACTTGTGTTGCTTTGGGGTGCAGACGCACAGCACTCTTTGGATATGATTTCTTCTTGGTTACCTCACGTGCACTAAATCTGAAGTATTTCCAAACAACAGTAATGATCTGCTTCAAGGGGCAAGCTCTTTGCCTTCTGTTGTCCCACACATTTGAGTGACTGTGATTGGCCCATGCATGCATGTGGCTGGGCAGCGATTTAGAGTGCATTTGATTTGCTTTGTGTTTTAAAACAGCAAAAGCATGCTCGATCATGCTCATTTAATTATTGGAAGCCAAAATAGTGATCAGACCTAAAATCCAATTAATTGTGCAGCTTAATCCTAGTATATATGTTGGCCCTCAGTTCCTGTTAGAATTAGTTTCAAGCTGGTTAGAGGCCACTCTTACCTCTGGAGCAGATACTTGTTGATGCTGCTGGATTTCTGACGAGCCCAACTGAAACTACTGAATTTGCTCATTTAGAGTTGAGGCATAACACAAAGCCAGTCCTATCACTCGGTTATTGAAGTGTCACCCTTGACTTCCTCTAATGTTGCTCGACTGTAAGGTTGATGAGTTTCCCTTTGGTTGCAGATCTGTTCCTGTTGTTGTTGTTTTTTAAAAAAATATTGCTCACCTTGTAAGTATGATAATTGTGTTGTAGCAGCAGTACAGTATGTTAACTGCACATGCATCAGTGTGTTGAGTTCATGACTTTCTTAGCTTCTCCCCCTGTGAGAGTGATGTTTGTCTGCTTGCTGCGAAAGCTGAAAGTCCCTGTTGGCCTGGCTTTATTATCGCTGGCTGATGTGTAATTACAGACATGGTGTACACGTTTGCAAACCTGCCACAAGTCTCAGCATATGTGTTGAAAGTATTCTCTTAAAGGAATCGGTGATCCATCAACATTCAGCATGGACTCAGTGTAAAAAAATCAAGCCATGATTTGCTGTTCTGTTAAAAACTTTCATCCACAAGTTGCAGCGACAGCACAAAGAGCATTGTTGTCATATAGTGTCATGCATTTGGCCTGTTAACCGCCCTTAACAACACCCTTAGCCTTGGACCATGAGCCTCCAATTCACACAGCTGGGACTATAGGCCTGCACCTCAGCAGTAATTGGAGCAGGCTTAAGTCTTCAGTAACGTGCAGCACTTCTTGTTGCCTAGCTACAAACAAACCTGAGTTGTGCAATATGGAATCTCCCCAGAAACTCTCAATATAGAGATGATTATTTAAAAAAAACACAAAAACGTCACACTGAAAGGAGAACATCCTGTTTTTTGTTTTTTTTTTGTTGTTTTTTTTTTTAAGTGAAAGGATATAAATACTTCTATTTTCCATTTTAAAAAAAGACATGAAATTAAAAAAAATCACTCATAATATAAGACACAAGTTCGGACCTGTAGCAAAATGTCAAACTGCTCAGCTTGTATCGATTGATTAATTTTGCTAAAAGCGCTTTTTAAAATGTTCCACTTGTGCCGCAGACATCTTTAAATCGATCTTTAACTGCACACGGGAGCAGTGTGTTCTCTGCAGCTTCCTCAGCAGATGTCGGTGTGAAATGTTGCTGAGAGACTGTTTTGGAACAAGAGAGCGACTGGGTGTGTTGGCAGACTCCTTGCACCTTGAGACCTACATCAGTAATGATACAATGTCTGTATGCATCTAAGTGTCCCTTGCGTAATTCATCTCCCGACCGGTGCTGTGTCATGAGACTGCAATTGAATTGGCAATAACAGGCCGTATGCCATACTGTACCATTAGTGCTTGTGCATGCCCCTCACGGTGTTGGCCTTGGACAATAATTTGCTGTCTTTGCTTTGTCTTTGCTGTCCTATTTGTTGCTTGCTCAAACACGGTGCTGCTTGAACTGAAGAAGACCGCGTTTAACTGCACACTCTCTGCTTAGTGGCTCTTTTCTAACCTCTTGTTTCATGCAGTCATTTCTAATGAATGCAAAGTTTCAATTAGCAATGCATTTGAAGAAGTATATCTTAAAAAGTAAATTGAAAAAAAAAAAAATTGTTGCATCAGTTACATGCATCATTTTCCAGTATCTTTAACAATATGCTTATAACAGGACATCAACTCTTTCCTTTCCGTTGCTCATACCGAGGCTGCTTGCTTGTAATTGCCTGTTAAAGTGATACAAAGCTTTTTTTTTTTTTTTTAGCTTCTTTAAAATTCTCCTCCTACAAACAGTTTCCTTTGGAGAGCATTGTATCTTCACTCACAGTCAAGACCTTCCACGCTAATGACATGTTAGAATGTGTTAGTGTGTGAGTGAGTATTTGTCTGTGCTGCTGTGTGTGTCATGCATGCATGAAACGGACCGACATATGGGATCAATATTGCAAGCCTTATTTACACATTAGTACTGCACTTTTTGTAATTGTACATCTACATATTGTACTTTTCCTATACAAACTTGAATCCCAAGTAGAGAACAAGGCAGCAAAAGGCTGCGAAAGTTGTGTAATAATGCTACAAAACGGAAAGGTTATTTGCAACTAGTTGGCAACAGGATAAAGGAGAGCTGCTAGAGGGATTGAGTCTTAAAAAAAAAGTTTTGTCTCCCAAAGAATTAGGATTTTGGAGACAAAGCAATCATAAAACGATTATCTGTGAACGATTACCAGGCCCATCCTGAGTCCCTGATGTTAAAAGTCCACCAGCAAAATGTTCACAGCAAATTCCAAACATGTCAAAGTTATAACAATATAAAAACATCAATCCTCACATTTTAAAAGCCAGAAATGGAAGTAATTGTTTGATAAGCAATCTTCTTTTCAATTGAAGTTTTCAGCAGCAGGTTTTCCTAAGTAATCAAATTCCAGGACAAGCATACAGCTGTTCTAGGAGCTCCGTGAGGCTGTACATGGGCGCAGCCGTGCTTTCAGCTAAATGTCAGCTACTAAAAAGTTACATGTTCACCAGTAACCTTGGACCTCTCTCTCTTTTTCCTGTTCCTTTCAGATTGACGGGGCCCTCTGGTTATCTGACTGACGGTCCAGGAAACTACAAATACAAGACCAAGTGCACCTGGCTCATTGAGGGACAGTAAGTACAGACAACACCATGGGAAAGCAAGTTCTTCTTCAGAGGCGCCGAATTAATTAGCTCAGAACACATTTGTGCCACGTCCTAAATAGCACTAGCAATAGGAGTACTTTTTCTATTGAAGTTTAACAGCTTTGAATATATTATATCATTCTGGATTAAAAAAACAAACAAAAAAAAACATTGGGAAAACTGGCACAATCCTATTGATCATTAGCTTTTGCCATTAGGGGAAAACAGTGGGAACAGTGGGAAGGAGCCCTAAAAGCGTTGAGACTGATGGGATTAGAATTATGAAAACTGAGGCAGCAACTCAATATTGCAGGCGGGATTTATAATGATTAGTTTGTGCACAGTATACATTGCAGACTCCTGCTGTGCTCCAGCTCCTGGTAATGTGGATAAAAATGAATGGCAAAGCAAGTGTAAGAAATCCAATAGTCTCCTTTCGTTTTAGTCAGCACATCCACGCCACCGAGTATCGATTTAAAGCGACGATTCTTGATTTTTGTTTTGGCTTCGAGCTTATCCAAACTTTAAACCCGCCGCTTGCATTTACATTCCAGGCAGATAGCCAGCACGCTCATTCGGGGGAAGGCGGGGCTAACTAAGACCGAACACGTAAGGCTCAGGAGATCGCGCTTCTGCTCGCCGTACACATCTTACATGGTTTTGAACTTCTGACCTTCGTTTTCCCGGATGGCTTCTCTAATCACCATGTCACCCTGCCGTCCAGTGTTTCATTACATACTGATGGCTCATTTTATATGCCATCTTGAGACTTCAGCCCATCTTCAACAAGAGGTTAATGTAGTGACATATGCGCTATATGCGTCACACTGACAAGAATACTGTTGAAGAGGCTTTATGGGCTTCAGATATGCTCTCACTTTGAACCTTCAAAAGCTCCCTCTGCAGCTAAGTGTAACGAATCCATTTCTAGTGGCTTGAAGTGACTTTATCTCCTGAAAGCTAAACTACTGAAATGTGGCTTTGCTCGATGCCTTGCTCAAAGGGGTCCCAGTGCTTCCTACTAAAATAAGGGCTTACATTAGATTAACAATTTACCAGTCACAAGTCCTCTGTACTCAAACCCCAGGGGCTGCTGCCATTCCTCAGTTTGTCTGCTAGGTCATTAAGGAGGAGCCATCGTTTCACTCTAATAAATATAATTATAAAGAGAAAAATGTGACTATTCATAACACATCCTGTATGTCTCAGTTTCTCATCGTATATGCACTGAATGGGTCTTTGTCTTCTTCCCTCCTGTTTTGAATGATTTCATTTAGCCATGTTTCCCCAAATTTAGAGCAGAGTTTGTTTGTTTTTTGTTTTTTGTTTTTTGTTTTTTAAAGGATCTCATGAATGTCTCCAATCAAAGTCAGATGAAGCCAGCTTGTTTTTTCCTGTTTTGCTGAACACTGCCGTGCATAAAAACACCCGGCCACAGATACTTGGTTTATTCACTGTCTCTGTAGCACACATTGTGCAACAGCGAAACTTGTCTGCCATATAATTCGCTTGATATAATCGTGTTTTGCTGGTAGACTAAATAACTGGGATGCACGCCGCAGTACGGTTTTTACACTTGATACGGAAAACATAGCCGATTTGTGCAGAACACTGCAATGTGATTCAAATATAAAGGTGTAGTTGGTGGCTGGCCACACACAAACGCTAGTTATAATGTTGCTGTAGGTGGTGACTGTTTCTACCATATCACCCAGTTAATTATCCACCTTTTATTGTCCTGAAAGTATCATTCCACGAGTTCAGCTGTTGGAAGAGTGCAAAGCTAAATGTCACCCAGTCAACAAGGAAATATTTTTTATTGCACATAATAAAACTATGTAAAAATCAAAATAAAGCAAAAACCTTACAGTAGGTCCCATCTAATAAAAAATCACACGTTTCCTGGAGAAACTGTTTGTTTCCAAACACAATTAAGTGTAATGGAGTGGAAACGTTGGGGCACCTCTGGTCAAATGTTCTCTTAGTGTGAAAACCAAAGACAGGAGATGATTTCCAGAGGGCTTAAAATTGAAGACTGTGCATTTCGTTAATTGTAAGCAAGATTGATTCTTTATTTCTGTCTTTTACAGTTTTGAATAACAGTGTGCAAAGTTCCCAAAGCGCTACTTCTTCAGGACTTACAGCCATTTTTCCAAGTATCTTAGCTTGCAGAGATTTTCTGTAGCCAGAAGAGTCACACGATTCTTGTTTAGTTAATTTTTGTCTGGTGGCCTTGAATGCACTTCTCTTTTGTTGTCTGGCAACTCATTTGTAGTGGTTTTTTTTTTTTTAAGACATGTAATTCAGGACACTGTGAGAGGCGTGCCAAAACCTTCAGCTTGTGCTTCTTAAGTAGTCCATTCCAGGTTTTTGATGCATTTAAGATTATAATGCTGCTGTTACCCTGTTTTTTTTTTTAATCTTTAGCGATTTTACATTTGGTGCGTTGATGCTGTGATTTTTAGAGGCTAGCCTCAACACAAACCCATAGTTATCTTGCAATGGGATCACAGCACTGAGAATAGTAATGCTGCATGCTTCTGTAAACATAATGCAGGTACAAAGCTCTTTAGCTGGACACGCCACAGGCCTCGTTAGCACCAGCGTTTGTATGCGTGCCATTCTGTCTGTCTGTAAACACGATAGCTTAGCGTTTTGGGTGAATTCTGAGAAAACTTTGTAAGCATGTAGAGCTCATGTTATCAGTCTATTCAAATATGGCTCACATCCACCAAGGTCAAATGATTTATTTATTGGTTAAAAATTGACATGAACTATGATTCTTACACGCGAGTCTGTGTGTGTGATTGAGCGTGTATTTATATCTTTGTGGGGACCAAAAGTTGGAAGTTCACTATACTTGTGGGGACCTGGGTGTTGGTCCCCACAAGTATAGTGAACTTCCAACTTTTGGTTGGAAACGCCTTCAAACTAGTGGGGACCTGGGTGTTGGTCCCCACTAGTTTGAAGGCGTTTGAAGGCATTTTCGAGACTCAAAATGTGGTTTTAGTGTCAGGGTTACAATTGGGTTATTGTTAGGTTTAGGGTTAGGGTAAGTGGCTAGGGATATGAATACCTTGTGTGCGTGTGCGTATATAGAAAGCATTGTATAAAGATTTAAAACATCATGTCATGTATGACCTCTTCTCGACTTCTCCTTCAAGGTCAAAGTGAAAATAATGGAATGTAGAACTCTTTAAAACCATGTTTTGTATTGACACCATAGAGGCACACAGGGGCCGATATATGGGAATTAAATATCCTGTTACTTTGGACCTCGGACCTCTTCTACAAGTTCAAATCAGGTCAAACGTCTTCTCTTCAAAACTGCTTTAATGCTGCTGCCTTTGTTTAGATTGGCAACATTTAGGAAGTGATACTGATATATGGGGATTATAAATATAACATTATAGTTTGGATCCAAATATCACCTCAAAATGAGTTCGATCTTTAAAGAAAGTATTTTTAAGACAAAGAGAATGAGCTGCCTCGTTAGTTAGAACTATACTGTGGTATAATATTATATAATGGGCTGAAATAATTCATGCCCAGTTATTTGCAGATCAATACCTCTTATCAATTACCTCCTTCACCTACATAATGTTTGTGTAATCAAAGTAAACATCTGTCATGCTGTACTTATCTGATTTTTACTGCACTGCAAACTTCTTAAAGTACATTTTAAAAGAACAAAGAAAACCAAATGAATATGTAAAAAAAGTGAGCTTCCTTGGCGAAGGTTTGCGCTCAGACAAGTTTGGATCTAACCTAAAAATCTTGCGAGCAGCCCCCGACCTCTGCTCAAAGACACAGATATCTGAAAAAGACCGGCTATCTGTTCAGGCTTGTCTGTCTGGTCTGTCTTCGACTGCTCGGCATAAGGTTTGACATGTATGTAGCTGTGAGGTCTGAGAACTTGTCTGTGTTTTACAGGCCCAACACCATTCTGCGATTACGGTTCAACCACTTTGCTACTGAATGCAGCTGGGACCACCTCTACGTGTACGACGGCGACTCCATCTATGCGCCCCTTCTGGCGGCTTTCAGGTAAAGCTTCAAATATGTGACAGGCTTGGAACACACTTGAGTATAAATGGTAATAAAAACACCTTAAACTCTTCTTTTGGGTTATTATTGTAGCGGTCTGATTATTCCTGAGCGATATGGGAACGAGACCGTCCCGGAGGTGGTGTCTCAATCTGGCTACGCCCTGTTGCACTTCTTCAGCGATGCTGCCTACAACCTGACCGGCTTCAACATTTCCTACCGGTGAGAGAATCTCTGAAAAAACAAAGTACCACATCCTGCATTTTCTTATTTATTTTTAAACAAACAAGGATTCGGCTTTCGCTTCAGGGAAGTTGAGGTTTCTCCGCTGACTGGCCAGACCAAAACAAATACAGAAACTAGATGTGTTGTTGGCTTCGTCTGTCATTTTCTTCTTCTTCTTCTTCATATTTGATATTTTAGCTGGAGTGGCAGCTCCCGCATATCGACTTGTTCATAATCCTTGAGCTGACTGTGCAGTCCTGTCATGCCTCAGGGTTTGCAACTCTCGAAGTCCGCAAATGCGTTCGTGTTGTCAGTCACTCGATAGAAAGTATCTACTAAATGACAAATGCCTGGATACTGAGCCCTGACAGGAGAGCCTCTGTGCAAATCATTTCTGTTTCACTGGCTGAGATTAATTTAGGTGAAGGGCCCACTTCACACCCTTCCTTGGGACAAGATGACGCATACAAACCTCTCACTTGCTACATGATTCAGCCGGTGTGCTGGCACGATTGGTGGAGAGCATTTTAGCGGAGGATCATGTCAGGTTACTGCCGTCCATTTGCTGCAGTATGTTGTTGCAGCATCAATACTCCTGTAATTGTTCAGACACACTGTGGCACTTTTTCTGTCTTTTTGTTTGCGTAACGAATATGTGGTTCCTCCAAACTTTTCAGGGACTGGACAGATAGAGTGGCCATACTAACACGCGTGTTATTAGCCGCTGAAGATCTCATCATGTAATGCAACCATTGGTTTTATTTAAGCTTAAGATTTATTATTGGAATTTTAACCTTTTATTAGACTGTTAGACTAGTACAAAGGGTTTGCAGGAGGGTGGGAGGGGAGAAATAACACAGAGGAACTGCTGTAGGCCTTCAGTGTACGGGTTTCCTGCTCAACCAGGTGAGCTATGGTGGTGCCCATTTGATTTATTTTTCATCTTAAACTGTCTCCATATATCTGGCATTGCAGTCGTTTGTGGAATTTATAATGAATTTGTTACAAAAAATAAATAAAAGTCATGGAGATAAGTAATTAAAAAGCTTGAATGCCCATTTTTAATCCACCTAGTTTCCTCTGCTCGTCTAAGCAGAGTCAGATGCGGGATCTCTTGCATGTTTACTTCTTCTTTAGCTGTCTCATAGCTGTCGGTGAGGGTTGGAGCTTGGATTGGCTTGTAAACTGAACTGTTTTCCTCTCAGCTCACCTCTGTGTTCAGCATATCTGCTGGGGACATCAATGCTGATGCAGCACCCTGGCTGACTTTTATATCTTTTATCTTATGCTCTAACTCTGTGTTTGGTTTCCTAGAGTTGCACTAATTTCAGCTGGAAGTACTGCAAATATTATTATACATAAGTAAAAGGAGTGAACTTTTAAGGCCGCTCTTTGCCTCTGTCAGTACTTTGGGCCTATGACGGCAGTTCATTTCACTCCTCTTTAACATGCTTTTAATGGCTCCCATTTGGTGTAGTTTAATGATGCTGCTCTTTGCTCTGCAGTCTGGTATCGACGCTGTGTGCAGGTCCAGAGTTGAGTTTCTGTATTGCTTATAGTAACTATGCTACATTGCATGATTAAATCTTATAACCTGAAATACCTGAGGCAGAGCCGAGGCCAAATGTAATGGGGACACACCTAAAAAGGTTTGATCAACACATCAGCAAACAGCTGATAATGCAGAAAACAAACAGCTGTGACAAAATTATAAAATTAGATTGTGGATCCACGTTCATGACTAACCTTACTGTTTACCCCTTGTTTGACACGAGCAAAAATCTTCTTATATATGCCTTCTTTTTATTCCAGACAGAAGGTTTAGCATAAGTAACACATCCATATATGGGTTCATCATTACTAAACTTCAAATTTATAAGGGGGGGAAAAATGCTTTAAGCATTGTAAACAATTGTAAATGGCACAGTAGACCCCTGCTACAGTCACCATAGCAATGGGACTGATGTTGTGCTGAGGACAGTTGGATGAAAGCAAAGTGCCCCTCTTTGCAACCCCCCCACCTGCAGTCCTTGGTGTCTGGGAGAGGTGGAGGAGGCGAAACATCAAACCATCTGGCACCGCAGGAACATGAAAGAATCACGAGCGCCTTTTGTGTCGTCGCTCTCAACAAGTGTGTTTGCAGGAGGAAAGAAACGAATGCCTCTGTGTCCAGCTTTGATTGGTAATACTTGTTTGTTTACGCTTAGGACCAAGTCTTCCTGTTTTTATTTTTATTTTTATTTTTTTCTCCAGTTAGTAGAGCAGTGTTTTAAGTAGTGTCTCATTTTGTGATATGGTGTTGGTGCAGGAGCTTGGTGCTTATTTCACTGATCTGCAGCTGTGTTGTACAGATGCATTTAATCTGTTTTTTAAGCCTCTGCTGGCCACACAACACAATGTGGTATCCCTAGGCTTCGGTGTACACCTGTAATGCTTCAAATGAAGACAGATTTATATCTTATTAAAACTATATTCTCATTCATTATTTGTTAATACACTGGCCTGCAGCATGCATACTAATATCCAGTTCTAACTGTATACCTCTGCACCACAGGACAGGCATTTGCATCTATTCCTCAGCAGCCAGCTGCCACAGTATAAGATACTTGCTTACTTTTAGTGGATGGAGTGAGTGCTGATTCATAACTAATTCATATTTTGATGTGACTGAAGAGTTGCCTCAAACTGTCATTGAGCTGTTATAATATAAGGAGTCTGTTTGACATTGAGAGCACCAGTGTTACAGTCCTACTGCAGACTGTGTGTGTTTGCCATCTGCTCTGCAGTGCCTGGGGAAACTTCCTTTACCTCAGCTTCTAGCTTAGTGCTGTTTGAGTGTAGATATCCCTCTGAGATGACTGACAAGTGTTGAGACAGGTGCTTGACCACCCGATGAGGGATGGACGATGCCAATAACAATACATTCTGCTTTCTTGAGGGGGGTGTTGCATATTTTAGCTTTAAGTCTGGAGACAGAGGCCACAGAATCAGAAGTAATGCAGTTGCTGAAAGGGTTTTCTGATGTTTTATTCAGGGTTTTTAGATCGAAATTCCAGTTTCGCTATCTGACTGTTTCCTTCTCTTTCTACCTTCCAAGAGTGAACACCTGTCCTAACAACTGCTCTGGCCATGGAGAATGTCATGTGGGGAACTCCACTTCTTCTGTGTACTGCGAGTGTGAAAATTACTGGAAGGGGGAAGCCTGTGACATCCCGTACTGCCTGGCTGACTGCGGCGAACCTGAAAGAGGCAGTTGCAAGGACAAGACCTGCGTCTGTACGGCTGGGTGGCAAGGTAGGGCGGGCAGCTTGGCGGGAACACTTTAGCAGATGTGCGACTTCATCTTCACATATGCTTTGCTGGTGTTACTATCCACAGCAAGTTGGCCTCAGCTTTCTCATACAACCCAAATCCTCCCAAGGGACTAAAAAAAGCCTTTGACGGGCAATTAACAATGAACAGTGACAATAAACTTAACAGTATGTCCGTCAGGTGTGATCAGGTACCCAGACTGTCGCACTCATTTAATAAAAGCGGGAATAACTGTGTTTAGATCTTAATGAACAAATCACAGCAGGATTATTGTTGTTGAGTTCGCTCTTTGATCATCCAACCCCCCCATTAACTGAAGAAGGCTGGTTTTTGTACAGTCTCAGTATAAATCAACATTTTAAGGAGATATCTAGCCTGAGTCGGGGTGTCAAACATAAGGCCCAGGGGCCAGAATTGACCCAAAGACTCCGGTTCACTGGACAACTTTGGATATTGAGAAGGACGGATAAAGACTTCCCCCATGGCTGTTCATACTACACCAAAGTAATTAAACTTCTTGGTTAAATACTTAGTAGTATAGTTAGTTAAATACTGAGCTAAACTTCAGACTGAGAAAGGAGAGTTTCACTGGTCTGCATGACAGTTGTTTAGCCTGTTATAGGTAATGAAAAGAGCGTCTTTGGCCTATATGCTGAGACTTTTAAGGTACCAGTTAATTCTGATTTATGTATTTTTCTAACCTTTTTTTTTTAACCATATCAGGACTTTGTGTTGATTTCTAAAAGCAAACTCAGTGTAAATTAGAGGAAACCTCAGTGCAGTCGAGCACTGAGCAGCTCCAGCAGAGCAGTTGGAGGTTTAGCAAAGAGAGTGTTTTCTTTCATCCGTCCAGATTTTGCCTGTTTATCTGGTGATTCAAACCGGGTCCTCTTTAAGCTTTAAGCCTCCCGTGCTGTTATTGAGGTTTCTGCAGCCCCCACGGCATCCATCTGCCGTCACCCGATGGACTTGAAATGAACTTTTAGCACGATCAGCTTCCTCATAGTTCTGGTCGAGTCATGACTATTCACTTATTTTATTTGGTCATGACCCGACACCGCTGTATGCTTTTTGTGCCGGACCATATGGCCCCTCTAACCGCTCTGTTAGTTCTTAAACAGCTCCACCGCGCTGCTTTGCACAAGCAGAGACAACGGCTTAATTTAACCGCAGTTATATCAGCAGCGCAGTGTGCTCACAATCTAATTACCAAAGCTGAGGGAGTTGAGAAACAGACTGGCGTTTTTCTTTAGCCTTTATTACCCTGTCATGGTGTTTTAGCAGAGGAATAGCACTCTTGGTGTACTTTATGCTGCCAGCTTCCAAATTAACTCATTTTCTACACCAGGCAGTGCAAAAAGCAGAGACAGATGCTTGTTTAGTCAAGCCACCCCGGTCTTTAATCTCTCTTTCACAGACTCATAGACTTAAAAAGTAACATGTTTTTAAAGGTGGTAACACCATGTTTGTTTTTATTTATGGAAATGCCACTGTGGTGTGAAAGTAATGTTGTTATTTAAGCACTGCAGGAAGAGGTTTGAGAATATTGGCTACTGGGGATTCATTTAGCTGCTGAACAAAAAGCAGAACAGGTAAAGTGACCTTGATTGTCAGAGTGAAGCAGAGAACTTCCTTTCCTGGCACACGATCGCATGTGTAATGTTTTTAGTCCAGCGGTGAACATCCGGTTTGTGCTGTGCGGTAGAGTGATGTGCGCTAAATGGTTGGTAAATGTTTTATTCCGATGAGGATTCATCTCATCGGGTAGGATGGACAGACTGTAGATGAAAAGGGTCATCAAAGAGCCCTCTGACCCGGCCGCTGCCTGCAGGATTGACAGGAAAAGGCCAATCTCTGTATTCCTGTCCTGGTCTCTGTTTGCCAGAAAACTTTTCCCTTCATTCAGGAGCGATTCCGGTTTATGGTGGCTATATTGTTCTCGTCCATAAACAGAGGAAGGCAGCTCTGGCCACAGCCATCTGTCTTTTTAAAGATTTATTTTAGTGAAAACAATGAAGCTTTAATAGTTATGGTTTCCTTAAAGAATAGTCTCCACCATTAGCTAAAGCGTCTGCATCACGTCAGTGTTTTTCTGAACTCCAAAAACTTTATGATCTAGTTTATGGCAGCGCGCCTGCTTTAGCTTCTTTCTTGAAAGCTCTGTGACAATCAGGTAGATTGAAGCAGAGGTTTTGGCAAAAAATTACCACGTAAGGAGAACTCTTTTAAAGCACAGTCACACTGTTACAGTCAAATAAATAACTAGATGTGAGTAAATTTGGGAAAAATATATTCTTCTGCATGTCCCCAATTTCCTTTCCTTGGCTCTAAATGAATAAAATCCTTGGAAGTTTTATCCTCTTAATCTGAAGACTTTTTCACAAACTTTCACAAATTTGTTTTCTGCTTCTTGCCGATTTTATTTTAGTACAGTCATAGTTTTTATGTCCCTGTAAAAGTAAATTAAAGGAATGACCTGAGTTAACCAAGCCTCCTACATCGCCGAGTTTCCTGTGGAGCCTTAACTCTGTGGTTTTTCCCTCCCCTCTCAGGTCCTGACTGCTCCGTCTCGGTTCCTGCCAATTCCTCTTTTTGGAGCCGAGAGGAGTACACTGAGGCCGGGCTGGCCAGGGCTTCCCACAAGGCTGTAGTTGAGCTGGGCGTCATGTGGGTCATCGGAGGCTACGTCTTTAACGCCTCCGACTATCACATGGTCAAAGCGTAAGTTGACTCCCCCGGCGAACATCTTCACTTTGATTTGTAGACATCGGCTGCAGCTCTCGTCCAAAAGAGCTGCGAGACACTGGTTCTCCTTGTTGCTATGCGACTGCAGGGTTTGTTCTTTTCAAACACAGCGTCTTTTTTGGAGAATATTTGAGTATTTAAAACTTACGCCCAGTGTACTGAGGGCTAAAGCTGTACTTGGCTGTCAGGAAGAAGCCACAGGACTTCCTGCCTCCTGAAAATCGACATGAAGAAGAACACAGCTCCGTACAGACAGTGTGTCTTGGACACAGACGGCATGTAATTAAAACCATAAAATTACAGCACTGGCTCAAAGTTATCACCCTGAACTCCACCCAGGACACTCACACACATGCCCTCGGCTCAATTTTGGTTTATTAGATTGCCTGTAAGCCAAGGTGTGGTTTCTTCTTCTTCTTTTTTTCCCTAAGCTCAGATCATGTGAAACTATAAATGATCATTTTGTCCGCCTTGCACAACCTATTTAATTTAATTAGAACACATATATAATCCCCCTAAGTGTAACCAGTTACCTTGTACCCAGTGTAACAATGCTTTCTTACTGTTTTACCTGAACATAAGATCCACTTTGATTGCTGGCCTACTGTCAGGCCTTGGCGATCCAGATATTTGTTATACACTGGTATCTTTCAAAGGTGCCGCAATCTTATTTTAATTATTTATTTATTTATTATGACCCTTTAGTTTCCAAAGCAGAGGTCCTAAAACGCTGAACTACCAGGTTGCCTAAACATGCACACATTCCTCAAATACTGTCGAATTTTGGAGATTTATTAAATCAAAGCATATTAACATGTGAAGACTTGAAGCCTTATGTTTGCTTGCTCATCTAATAGCCTTTACTTTACAGTAAAAGTCCCTTAAAGTGATGTTGTAATTTGGCTCTACATGACAAAAATGATTTGAATTCAACATTTGGTTTCTTCAAAACTCAAAATGTCACGAACCGTGACAAGATTCCAAACAAATATCGTGGGATTGAATGAAGCGATCAGTTTATATTCCAAAGGCCGTCTTCGTTGCCCTTACATGCTGCAAAAACATTGTTTGGCCAGTACTACAACAACATAACTCAGGAACAGAAGGAGCGATTGATGTAAAACTGGAACTTAAAAGGCTTGCAGAGGCAAAAGCAGCGAGGCAGTAACTCTAATCTGTTTGCTGCAGGGCCGGCATTTACGATCACACTTTAAATCAGCTAAATGCATAATCTCACGCAGCGAGTCAAGTGATTAATAGAATCTTTGCTGTGCTTTGTTTGGTTACTTTGTGAAAGACTTTGAACAGACACTTTCATATACAATTTTAAAGCGAGCTGGGAAATCCTTCTGTAAATCTGAGCAAAACCGCTTCTTCGTTCCTGCAGGTATAACGTCAGCAGCAAGACATGGATGAGCCTCGACCCCTCCGTCAACACTGTCACACCACGATACGGCCACTCGCTAGCCCTGCACGAGGTATGTGAAGCTAAAGTCGTTGAAAGCACAAAGTGAGTGTATGCTCTTAACTACATCTTCGTACTGCGGTGCATTTTACAGACAGCCTTAGTGTGATTTGAACATGATACGTAAGAAGCTGTGAGCGATGAACTTACAACCTCCCTATTCTTTCTTTATGCCTTTTAGATAACCTTTAGTTATCTGCAGCTTAGATATAAATAAATCTCAGGGTGTTTTTATGCAGAAGTGAGGCAGTTTCCTCTCTGCAAAAAGACTTTTAGGGACTCCTGGTGGGATAATAACAAGAGGAGGAGGTCCATTGATGACTAACAGACAGAATTTAAATCCTTTTAATTTACACGTCATGTACCATGACGTCATACTCTCAGGACATTACTCATAATGGATTTATAGAAAACTGCACATGATGCCTCAAAAGGTCTGTTTGGTTAAAATTATATGATGCATTAAAAAAATAATGTTTTGGCCTTTATGTGATAATAAAACAGTGAATACAGATTGGTAGGTGGGGAGAGAGAGAAGTGGAAGACACACAGCAAAGGGCCATAAGCCGGACTTGAACATGGTCACGTGTCATATGATTGAGCTAAACTGGCTCCTGCATTAAAATAAAATTCCTAACTTAGCTGCATCTATGTAAAGGTTCATCATGTCTACTTTTAGTCTGGAGCCAACACTGTCAAATGGCCTGCTCTTAATTTGAAGAGCCATTATTCTGTGTGACCTCCAGGTCATCTTCAGCTTATTCATAGGAGAAGGCGAAACAGCAGTAGGCGTATTGTGTTATTTTTGTTATATCAAACAAGACATGAAAATAGTCATCAATTTGCTGGATTATAATAATTGTTCTTATATGTAACATGCAAGCGATACAGACTCTGTAGTGTTGTCGCCGTAAGTTATTCCAATGAATTATAAGAAAGTTTAACTTAATTTGTTAGCAAAATTCTGCAAAAAGTCTTTGGAGTGTGCATATAATCCTGCTTCACTTGTTGTTCCCTCCAGGGTAAAATCTACATGTATGGCGGAAAGATCGATGCTACAGGAAATGTCTCCAGCCAGCTGTGGGTTTTCCACATCCAGAATCAGACCTGGGTCCTTTTAAGCCCCAGGGCCAAGGAGCAGTACGCCGTGGTGGGACACTCTGCCCACATTGTGCCTCCTGTCCACGAGGGGGACGGCCCCGTCATGCTAGTTCTGTTCGGGCACTGTCCTCTGTACGGTTACATCAGCCAGGTGCAAGAGTACAACATTGGTAGGTTTTAGGCACTCGTGAGAATGTGGTCAAATTAAACTAAAAATATACATGTTTATGAAAAGAGAGTGAAGATGCTTAAGACGCCTCGTTGTCATCTGAGACACAATCTGCCTGAGAAAACGGGGTAAATTTAATTGCTGCTGTGGCTGATGGACAAGAGCACATTTTAAATTTGGATGTTATCTTTACCTGAGCTATCAGCAATAAGAAGTGATGGCAGTCTGATACGTCTTTCACACTTAGAATGGATTTGAGAAACAAATGCAAAGCCCAGCAGTTATGATCTCTAGTAAAAAATCTTGTATTTGAGTATTTTATTACATTGTGAAAACTTGAATTTAGATTTTAATTGTCCAGTAAAATACTATTATGTGACCCTCCAGCCAAGAACACATGGAGCATCGTGTCTACAGATGGTGCCCTGGTCCAGGGGGGCTATGGCCACAGCAGTGTGTTTGACCCCAGCACCAGAGCCATCTACATCCACGGAGGCTACAAAGCCTTCAGCGCCAACAAGTATGGCCTAGCAGGAGACCTTTACAAGTTTGATGTGGGCAAGAGGAAATGGTGAGAGATTTTCTGTTGTATCTGAGTTTTGTTATGAAATATGCTTGCTTAAATGCTACAGTAGCAGGGTTTTCACACATGTACTGCAGCTCTGATCATACCCAGCACAGTTACGTGCGTGAGTGCAAGCAGTTGGATCGGAAATATGCAGTCAAACTACCACCTCCTGAGTACAAAGTCGGCATGATGTGAATGTGTGGGTGTGTGAAAATCCCAGGTAGCAGTCTGGAGCATTTACAGCTAGCAAATGTGCATGACGTGTCCTGCCTGCGTGCACGCTGTACCGCAAAAGTTTTTTAAGTAGCGTGAACACGTCTGAAGCTGGCCAGCAACTGCGGAAAATATGTCGACCTGATAAGCCCCCAAATTATTTTTAATTATCACTTTCCAAACCTCTCACTGTAAGGATATGCAGGTACTTAAATGCCATTTACATTACAGTAATAACTTAAATGCACTGCCTTCTTTTACTAAATTCCCTTTTTCTTCAGCTGATACCTTTTTAAAAACTATTTTGGTAATCAGCACTTTGACCTTGCAGAGATTTCGCCTTATTTTGATAGAATTAGTCACAGAAGTGCCGCGCAGCCTTCACATGTCTAAACCTCTGCTAATGGCAGGAGGTTGCACTCTGAGGATAAAGCATCTTTGAACAAGCCAAGGTTCAACATTCAGTACTTAAGGCAAAGTTTGCATGCGTAAGGAAAACAAACTGAACTCTCTTGAGTGACAAAAAGCGTTCACGTGACAACATTTTAAAATGAAACTCGCGGGTGCTCTGAAAATAAGGGCCGTGTGGCGTTCAAGTGCTTAACAACAATCCAAACTGTGGCTGTGCAGGACCATTCTGAGAGACAGCGGCTTCTTCCGGTACCTCCACACAGCAGTGATGGTTAGTGGGATGATGCTGGTGTTTGGTGGAAATACCCACAACGACACCTCCATGAGCCACGGCGCCAAGTGCTTCTCATCGGACTTCTTGGCCTACAATTTAGGTCAGTAACACACACACACACACACACACACACAGCCTTTTTCCTTTCACTAAGGCTCTTTGCTGTCACCCATCTACATGCATTCATACCTGGGAGCTGCTTAGTACGGCGACAGGCTTCTTGTTGTCACTAGGAAGCTCCACTGGAGCCACAGTCTGATTTGCAGACTCAATAAAAACACAGCTTCTATTCATAACTGGAAAAAAATAATAAATAAATACTCATAATGAGATGTTGTTAAGCTTTCCGGCACTGTGGTGTTTTTGTCATATTCACACTAGTATTATTATGTTGGATCTTGGTATAAAAAGAGAGAAATTAAATCTAACTGAGAGAGTGAATGTGCTTTTTGACTTCTCACTTTATTTATGTGCATAACAATCCTGTTCTTTATAATTCTTAATGCTTTGGAAAAGCTGAATCCTGTGGGGTTTTGATTTCAAAATTTTTCCTTCAGATAGCTTTTGATTTTCACCGTTTCAGAAGAAACACTTTGCTTTAAATTGGAATTACTCCTCCGCTAAGGCGAGAGCTCTGGCAGAAGTACGCGATACGCACTCTATTTGTCAGCAAGATCAAAAACTGCAAAACTGCAAACAATATTTCATTAAAACTACCTGCAAAGGGGGAGCATAGGAAGAAGGGGAAAAAAAGAAACGATCCATAAAGTTTTGATGTGGCTCTGGATCATCTTTAAAAGGTGAAAATTGGGAATTTGCCTTGGCTAGGGATGCAAACTTTGTCCGTTTGCCCAGACACTTAGTTTGTTTCTTGAAGTTCAGGCTCTTGAAATAAGGTCGCCTAAGTATTTGGAAGCTTCTAGCTCTTTCCTTTTGCTCATTTCAACATGACGGTATTAGGAAGTCTGTGGTGTTAGCCCCACCCCTGGAAGGGTGAGCACGAGCAGGTTTTGTTTTGTTTTTTCTTAAACACCGAAGATATGTAGTTAATTGTCGTCTGGGATTTTTCTCATACCGGTTTACCAGTGATTGTACTGGAAGGCACACAAAGGTGTTTACTGGTGGTGGTCAGAGGGCCCGGTGGCGCCAGTGTCCGGCAGCCTCGCCTCTGTCAGTGCGCCCCTGGGCAGCTGTGGCTACAATGTAGCTTGCCATTGCCAGTGTGTGAATGTGTGTGTGAATGGGTGAATGACTGAATGTAGTGTAAAGCACTTTGGGGTCCTTAGGGACTGAGTAAAGCCCATACAAATGCAGGCCATTTACTGCAGTTCGTGTTGCAAAAATAAAGGTGGTTTGGAAGAGGCATCTTCAGCTTACAAGAAGAATAAACACCTGTTTTTGTGTCTAAATAATTAGATATAGGAAAAAAGAGTTTATTTGGTAGTCTGTTTCCACAGGACCTTTAAAGAGCCACTCCTTTTGAGTGGCTTTAAGGGGCTTTCCTGAACAAAATGGGAAGTCGCCCCCAGTAAGATCCAATCCTCTAACCCAGCGGTTCCCAGCCCCCGGGCCACGGACCAGAGTCGTTTGGTACTGGGCTGCGAGAGTTGAGGCTTGGGTGTGAAATTTATGGTTTTCATCACTAACTCTGTTTCCCTGGGTCTTTTCCTGTGTTGTAGCTGTGTGTATTATTTTGAAAGAAATATTTACGTGATACCATAGCGACCAGAGAGAGGAGGACGTTACTCTCAATGTTGTTGGTGCATTTCAGGAGGACGCTGCTAATAAAGTTACACAATTATACAGTGAATTTGCATTTAATATTATATTTACAAAATACCACAGTTTTTGTCTTGGTTGTATCATTTTATTTTGTTGTATTTATCCGCGACACCTTAAAGGCCGGTCAGTGAAAACATTGTCTGACATTAAACTGGTCCGTGATGCAAAGGCTGGGGACTGCTGCTCCAACCTACCTGCTGTGAGGGAGTTATGATATTAAATAAATTTTTAATTAGTGTGTCTGATGTGCACTTCTCATACAAATTAGTGACATAAAGGAAAACTTGGGCTTCAGGGTTGAAAACTAGCAAGTCCAATTTCATAGACCTTCCCCTCCAAGCTGCTCTGTGAGGACTTCAGGGTGTCGGTAAAGCAGGGTGGGCATTCCTATTCATAGCTTTGGGGACATAAACTATATTTATTCGTGTTTATTCATGCAGTCTCTTTTCTGAATGCTATGTTGCAATTCTTCGGGATACCTTAGGTTTGTAAATTATTACTTGACAGCAGAGCCCCTGTGCAGACTGCTGGCAGAGTAGAAAATCAGATTTCTCTTTCCTTTTACAAGTAAAATACTGAGATCCGAGTTGATTTTTGAGAACTAATTATAATCCTGTTTAAAGTTCTCCTCTTTGTCCTAATGTAAGCTAACACAGCTTTGTCACAAACCATCCCGGCTTCCTCATTTTGTTAACTGCCTATAAACGCTGCCGTAAATTGAGTCTGCCTCCTTCCGCAGTGCTGTCGCAAGCTGCTCATTAATGAGAGACTTTACTCTCTCCGGATGGGAGAATTCCCCGAAGGCTGAAAATTGCCCCGGGACATGTGAGGGTTTGCTGTGTCATTTCCATCATGATTGACAAGCAGTGAAACTATCTCTCAGGGGCACGCACACACACACACACAGACACAAACACACACACGTCCTCCGATCTCTCCCAGCTTTTGTTCTCGAGAATTGCAGGTTTGGACTAAGACACCCCTTTGTGGTATGAAGAACAGATGATGAGGCAACGTGTGTTTAAGTTACCACATGCTACAGCTTGCCTGGCGAAATGAGACTAGCTCGTCTGACCCTGGCGACAAATTGTTTTTGGGATTTCCCCAGAGATTATTCGAGCCAAACTTTTAGATTTAATAAACTTCAAGCCCAACAACCCCTCCCCTCCTTGTTTCTGACCTCTGCCTGCCAGTCCTCATCCTCTCTATGATTTTGTAATTGGACAGAAAGTACTAGCTCACTATATTACTCCAGCACCAGCCAGCTGTAGGGTCGGTGTCAGCAGCCGCAGTGGTAATTAGAGTCAAGATGGCCCCGCGTCGAGAACTAATTGTTTCTCCTTAACAAGCTGAACTCAATTAGAGCATAGAATTCAAGAGCTGTCCACTGTCCTGACATTGGTAAATCGTTTTGTAAAATAACCACCGTGAGGGGCAATGCACCACACCAGCAGCAGTGCCATCCTGTGACACCAGAGGGCACTGTCTGCTCGTGAATGTGGAGCTCTCACAGATGTCCGTCCATCTCCTCTGGGAGACTATGATGACTTGCACTGCATTGTACCGTGCGAATGTGATTTACCACGGTCACTGTGCTGGCTTCTTTAGGCTTTGACTTTCAAGCTCATCCTTTTTTTTTCATTAAGGTTTTATAGCTGCACATACTGCTGCTGATTTCCATTAAAACAAACATAAAGGAATCAAACCATTTAGTTATTCATTTACCTGCTAAACACCTATATAGAAATTTAGAGGTCATGACATCACAGTGGCTTTCCAGTGGCTGAATTTCAAACTGTAGGAAAGTCGCAGTAAGAATAGAAACATTTCTCCTTTTTCAGTTCGGTGACAGTTGAGTCACAAGTTGCCCAAGTTGCTTCATTTTATTAGTTACTAGACAAACAAGTTGGGTAGCACTAGTTCGGATAACAACATCCATATGTGTAACTTCAGACTGACAGATCTGCATATGAATATGCAAAATCTGTGGGTCTGAAGCTTTCTGAGAGCCTAATCGTTTGACAGATTGTGAATTCTTTCACCTGCAAATTGCAGAAAGGACCCAGAATAACTTGTTAGTGTGTCGCAGGTTCAAAACACCCTATTGCAGTTTCCACCACCAAAAATGGAAAGGCCAGGCTTAGAGACATGCAAGTCAAATCCAGGGATACCAGTTCAGACTTCGTTTGAACCATCAGACTGTTGGAAATTGGTCACTTACGTCTGCTTATGTGGGTCAAATAAAACCATCACTGACTCTCTGTCCCCTCCTGCACCTTTTACCTGCCTTTACATTCAGCTATGGCATTCCTCTACCTGGGATCAGCGTCTCAGTCACTTCAGCCATTAGCTTGTCTGACACGAGAAGATGAGCCTCGCTAACCACCCAGAGCGTGTCAGCGGAGTTTGCCACAGCTGAAGACATGTATGGTATAACGAGTGGGAGCAGGTGAAGAGTTTAACTTCTGTCTTCTTTTCATTGCAGCGTGTGATGAGTGGACAGTCTTACCTCGACCGGACCTGTACCACGATGTCAACCGCTTCGGACACTCTGCAATCTTCAGTGATGGGTAATCTTTAATTAATTACGTAATTGAAAACTCACCGGATTAAAAGTGGAAAATCCTCTGCAGTGAATCTCATTAAACATGAGCTCCTGTATGATTTTTCTTCTTCACTCGATTCCTTTCCTGTTTGTTTTATTTATGATCGCTGTGGACTTGTTAGATGGATGATGGAACAACCACAAAACTTCAGCAGAGGCTAGCAGAGAGGACATGAGGAACACAAAAACGTAGAAAGCTGCCGTTTGTTGTCGAAAAACGATTAAAAAGGATTGTTAAGAAAGAGAAGCTGAATTCATGAATGGATGCTTTGGCATTCAGAGTGAGAGTTGAGAACAGAACAAGAGATTTTCAAGAATTGGCAGCAGACTTGCTGATAAAAGGGAGTCCTCAAAAAGAGTTCCTTTGTTGGCTTAAACCCGTCAAATACACGCCCTTTGCTTGATAGGGGACAATTGCAACACACGTGGGGTTATTGTTGCTTCTTAAATTTGTTGAATTTATGGTGTAGCATAAGGAAATGGTCTTGCACTATGGCAGCACAGAGCGGGGACAAAGGGGAAACCCTTGAAGCAAAGGAAAACGAGCAAACGGTGCATCACAGGGAAAAATCAAACCCTTGTTGCCTTGGGAAAAGCTGTGTGGATCCATACATGACATTTCATTATCAGCCTGCAATATGAATAGATTGTGATGGGGATGGTGCTGCGAGCAGAAGCGATGACTCATCACTAAATATGATCTGCTCTGCCAGCAGAGCAAGACGCTGCGATCCATATTAAATTATACATCCTGTTGTATAGAAGACATTAAATATTAACATTAATCACTACCCCTGTTTGGGGCAGTCCTTATATTACTCATGACTCCACTTCCTTGGGAGCAGTTCAAAGTTTGTTCATGCATTTATTAGCTGTTCGACTCAGCGCAATCAAAAGTTCACAGCAGTCAAACTGAGCGTTATTTTTTTTAAAATTTATTAAGCAAAATGACGATAAACAAGTTTACGAGAAGCCGTAATAAGGTTTAAAAAAACAGGCTCTACTGCTGTAGTCCTAAATATCAGGTTTGAGTTGTAATATTTATAGACAGAGACTGATGTACCTGCTCCACATTAACTTAAGTACTACAGCAAAACTCTACAAGCATCCTTTGGTCTGAACTTTAAAGTAAAGGATCTGTATTTGCTTTCAGGCCCCCCCAAAAAAACCTGGCACAGTCTTTCCTTTGAACTGTGTCTTGCTATCTCAGTGACTTTCTTTAAATTCTCTGTTAAAAAACAGTTTTCATAATATTGTTGAAAGAAAATGATTGGGAGGGAAAACACACGCTTTCACTATCCGTAAGACTTTTTCTCTACAATGACTCACATCTTTTAAATGAGAAGAAAAGAAAGTGGTTAACTGATGTAGTCCCCTGCAAGACTACCATGTTCTCCTCCTCCCGATCTAGGCGCTCAGCAGGGTGTCCTCAGCGTGCAGTTTGAAGTGTGCCCTCCATGATCCGGTGGAGTGAGGGGGGGCTTTTGATCAGACGTGTGCAAATTACCCATCTACCCGGCCGGGCAGCCTGTGAATGGGTAATTGGTGGATGAGTCTGAGAGCATGCATACGCTTAGGCCCACACTCACAGAGTAATCCCAGTAGCTGAACATAGGCCAGTGGAGAAACATGTTCAGAAACGACCTGGACCCATCAAAATGCACTCTAACACGCGCACAGTAGGGGGTCCTGTCAGGTCCATCTGCACAGGAAGAGAGCGCTTGTTGGGGATTTAGCAGACTTAAGAGGCAGGTTGAAGCCCAGAGAAGAGGAGGATCACTTAGAGTGTGCAAAAAGGGTTGAAATTGGGCAAAATAGTAAGGAGGAAATTCACTTGTCTTACTTCCTGAATCCCTTCCCTCCTAACATCTATTTCGCCTGTAGTCCTCTAATTCTTTTCTTGTGTTTTCCTGCAGCGTTATGTACGTGTTCGGTGGCTTTAACAGTCTACTGCTCAGCGATGTCCTCACGTACACCTCGCCCAGCTGCTCGGCCTTTTCCAGCCCGACGTCCTGCAGCCAGGCCTGGCCAGGCATTCACTGCGTGTGGAACGCCACCCAGGAGGCCTGTCTGCCTTGGGAAAGCGACGTTATCGGCACTGAACAGCAGCAGCAGCCCTCCTGCAACACGAGATCATGTAGGTGACGCTGCAGTTGCATTGAAATGCCACATGGGCATGGACGTGACACGTGAAGCTAATCCAAGATAATTTGGGGTTCTCGATGCTTTCCTTCAGTGTGTGCAGAACTCATCTGCATTCGCTTCACTGATGTCCAATGAGATGCATACGCTGCCAGAAACGGCTTGTTTGTCATGGGCTGCCAACACAGTTCCTCACATCAAAGAGTGAAAATGAGCGAAAAAAATATGTCACCTGGGTGTTTTCCTCTGTGTGTGATTGTGCGTGTTTGTGTATATGTGGTAAGTTTTGGAATGTGGAAAATATAGCCCTCATGCATCATCCACAAACAAACAGTTATACCTATAACTTCTGTTCCCTGAAGGAGAGCAATGAGGTGCAACACATAAGTATGGGATATTACGCCCCGCGTGTCCTGGCTAAAGAAACCTCTATTCACGCCTTTACGGTGGATGACCTGTGAAGACATGCGCATGGCCCCTGGCTCCACATATAGCCTCTGTCATCCCTCAGTTTGATAGTCACTGTTAACTGATCTAAGCTGTGCAGCGGGGCAACCTTGTGTTGCTCGATCTTCTCCTTCAGGGAAGAGAAGTTATAGATATAACTGTTTATTACCTTTCAGTCGATGAACTCGGTACAACACATAAGAATGGAACATATATATGCACCCCATAGAGCAGCCATCAAATTGGAGTCAGACCACCAGCATCACCAGTGTGCAGTAGACCCAGCACAAAGAAGCGGGACAAAGCAGGATCCTTGGTGCTGTATGCCAGTGAGATAGCTTCTATAATCCAGTGGGGCAGCCTCTGTTTAAACAGGGGGTCTACCTGTAGTTGGATTAGCGAAGCAGACAACGACCGGTCTCATAAAAGCACATTCTGAGTGCTCTTAATGTTTGTACAAAGCACACGTGCATCCTCTTCTGCCTGTTGGATGCAAAAGAAGAGGAGCAAAAGCTCAGATGCTCAAATTCCATTGAGCTATAAGATGCAGGAATGACCTTGGGTAAACATGCCACATTCAGGCACAATACGACCCTGAGGCCATCAGGAGAGAACTGTGTGCAGGAGGGATGCACAGACAGAGCGTGAAGGTCACCTACTCGCTTTTCAGAAGCCAATGGGAGAACCAATGCAGTCTTATATGAAATTTTGTATACATAGACTCGGTGGGTTCAAAGGGGTCCACAAGGGGGGTCCACAAGGGGGCTCCAGCACCAAAGACCCATGCAGGGACGCTGAACCTAACCACGGGTCTCAGGCGGCAAACCCTTTTACAAAAACTTATGACAAGGAGATGTGCAACTGGTGTCACCCAATCAAAACCAATAAGATAAGCAGATATTGCTGAATCTCCTGCAGCAATGTCAAAATATCCAGACTGGAACACACTGGAATGGAGGTTTGCGCCGGTGCTAGCACCATTGCTTGAAGG